TGGGTGATAGTGAGGGAACTTAGAAGTCTTTGGGGTCTCCCTCTCCTTTTCTTCCCCCCCCCCTCCTTTCCTGTAGTTGTACCTTGGGAGTGGGGCCCCTTCCCTGGAGAGCATCCAGATAATCTAAGGATTGCTGGTTATACTTGTAGACTGTACCTTATAGTTTATGTGAATAAATTGAAGTAATAGTTTGTATATTAATAGAGTTATAAGGTTGCCTGATCAATATCCTTTGTTCTGGGTTGTTCTATGGTTCATCTGTATTTTTAAATAGCAATTGGTTGTGTGTGTGTGTGTGTGTGTGTATGGTATAGGGTTTATTGTTTACCCATGTATACCCAGGCTACATGTACCTAAGAGGCTGATAAAGTGCAGTTCATAGGCTTGTCTGTAGAGGCCCCAGTGCCAGTGAGAATGCACCTTAACACATGCAAATTCATACGTGTCATGAGTTTTGCTTGTCAGCAGCTTGAGGTGTAGTTTCTCAGAAACCCCGGCACCTATCTCCTTGAAATCTGGCAGACTTCATGGCCTCAGCAGGGGCTACCATCCCTGCAGTTTTTACCCTGCTGCACGTTAACACACACAGAGTCACATGTGACACAAGTTTTGCTCAACAGCAGCTTGAGGTGCAGTTTCCCAGACAGCCCTGCACCTATCTCTTTGAAACATGGCAGGCTTTATGGCCTCAGAAAGGGCTATCATTCCTGCAAGTTTCATCTGAATCAGGCAAGAAATGACAAAGTTATAGGCAGTTTCATGCTTCCCCATTATAGCCTATGGGTGGAAAGTTGAAACAGTGTTGAAACTCTGAAACAGTTTTGATGAAACGAAATGGAAGAGTGCTTCAAAATGAAACAAAACTTGAAACAAAACACTGTCCCATGAGAATGGTGAAACAGAAGTTGAAACAAAATGGTGCTGTTTTGCACAGCCCTCTTACTTACCTATTACCATATCACACTTGAATGCCTATCTTGCTGGGATCATTTAACCCCTGCTGACTTTCTGCCCCTTGAGCAGGAAGCTGGACCTGAAGATCTTGTGAGGTCCCTTCCAGCCCTAATGTCTATGAAATCTATTAAATCATCATCATCATCATCATCCTCCTGTATGGATTAGTCACCTAATTCAGCAGCTGAGTGAAGTCAGACATGCCACAGACAAGGATCTAGAGGCTGGATCAGAGCCTTGGGCCATCGGGTGGAAGTGCTGAAGGGCTGCATTCACCCAGCGCTTGGCAAAGCACTCACATTTCCAATGTGTCTAATTCTTAACAACTTCAGATCCATCATGGCACAGTAGTTCCTCAGTGCTCTCTTTAAAGGAAGCCTATTTGGCTGTTTTGCATATATATTTTCCCCCCTCTATAAAAATGCACGACAGTTAAAAGGCAGTTAACTGACCGCAAGCCTTTTATTTGTTTTAAATGCGTGTCATTTGTATCTCTACCTGGGCAATAATCTGTAAGTAATTTCTACTGCATTACAAAAACACACACCACCTACTTGCTGTGAGTTATTTTAAGTGACACTCAGTAACCACCAAGTGATCAATCAGCTCTCTATAAAATATCGGTTTCTCGGCTCCGGCTTTTTATAACAAATGGCCGAAAGGAACCGGGCGAGTGAAAGGAATACTCATGAATCGAAGTGATTCATGGCCGGGCCAGTGACAGGCACAGTATACAAGCACTTGACACTGGCTGGGGGAAACTTGCTGGTGGTGTGGTTTGGAGAATTCATGCTGGTACCTCTTTAGGTTTCGTAGCCCCCTCCCCCCTAGCTCTGCTAATGCCACTCAACCTGCAGCCCCCAGCAAAGTGGGAGAAAGGGAAGTTAGCAGACAACAAGTTTAGGAAGAAGAAAGGGAGGTGCATTTTGTTATATAAGAGCCACATCCTGGGTCAGACCATAGGTCCATCTTGCCCAATCTCCTGTATATATGGGCCTCCATGTGTGGTCTGGGTTACTCTTCAGTTCATATGAAGAAAGCCTGTCATGTCCAGCTGGGGAAAGGGTGGTAAGGGGAAAAGTGGAAAGTGATACCGCAAAGTGCTGCACAACAATAATCAGGGCATCATCAGACTGCCATCCACTGCCTGGCTTGTCAAAGAGGCATCAAGCACATCTCAGGGCTCATCTGTGAGGAAACCCGCAGGGTGCTGAAGGTATTCCTGAAGAATGTCATCCACAACATCATCACCTACAACGGGCATGCCAAGTGGAAGACATAGTGTATGCCCTGAAGTGCCAGCCAGGGTCGCACCCTATTCAGATTTGTGGCTAAACCTTTTTCAGTAGCAAAGTCCTGTATCACAGAGGGGCAGTGAGCAGAGGCTGAAAGAGAGAGTGAACAGGTAAGGATCAAGGTTTATCCCCTTGTTCCTGTCTCACTTTCAGCCTCCAGAATTGAAGGTCCAAGAAGTTCTGAATCAGAGGCCATACCCTGAACTTCTGTGCTAATAGCAACTGATGCCCCTTTCCTCCAAGGATGTGTCCAATCCCTTTTTTGAACCAGGCTAAGCTCTCAGCTTCTCTGGTGGCAACAATTTCCAGACTTTAATGACAAACTGGGCATGTCTACACATTCATTAATACACTGTAGTTACTGTGCGTTTAATTTAGTACTTAACGCAGTACTAACTGAGTGTGAGGTAACTACAGTTACTGCACAGTAGTGCCAGCACACTTTTTTTGTGATGCTTACTCTGTAGTAGCCTAATACTACTGCATAGTAGTGTATTAACACAATTTTTGACTGGCACACTACTGCACAGTGTTATTAGTCTACTGTGCAGTAAGCATCTCATGTAGACACACCCACTGGGTGCAAAAGAACTTCCTGATGTTAGCTTTAAACTTACTACCTACTATTTTCATGCTGTGACCCCTCATTCTTGTCTAGTGAGAGGCAGTCAATAATAAATCCCTACTGGCTTTCTCTTTACCATTTAGTATTTTGTAAACCCTTCTCATATCCTCCTTCAAGCATCTCTTTTCTAAACTGAATAGGCCTGGCCTCTTTCATCTCTCTTACTATGGAAGCCCCGCCCCCCC